GAGCAATATGCTCATGAGAATAGTATATAATAATGGGAAACATAAAGTACAATATGAAATAAGATTGAATTATTTAGAACAATATATTTTAGCATTTTACTGTTTATTATGACGTTTGGAAATATAATATAGCAAAGTATTGTATATTAACTGCTAAATTTCATAATAAAGAGCTTAATAATTAAATGTAGGACATTAGCCTATAGCATAAATCTTGACTCCGGAACTAGCAGTATGTAGCAAACCCTAATCCTGGTCTGTAAACCTTGTCCACTATACCTGGATATGAAATAAAACTAAGACAACTACCAGCGATGCAATCAATGATAGGTCATAGTCTTGTCTGTTTGGTTAAGTTTTGAAAGTAAAACAAGGATATCCTATCCACTCAAAACAAGTGAGCATATGATTTAAAATATGAATACCAAGATGGTGTGACTCACGGTGTGGCCGAAATTAATTTTCGATGCATAGAAGTGAGGTGACATCGTTTTCGCAACTTGGTCTTATAGTCAGGTTGACTTAGTTGGACGGATCTTGTCCAAAGTCCTCTGTCATAGTAGTTATCATAATTCCCAGCGTCAGACCGTGGACTTCGTACATTCCAAGACGTTTCGCCAGCATCCTAGTCGGCACAGACTCGACACAAGATCATTTGAAAGACTACAGAAAGAAGGGCCTCATATGGTTGAAACACAAGTAAACAGAAGATTATAGAGGCCATTGACATCCTTAGGGAAAAATTGTAATGAAATAAGATTGAAAGTTAGCTATAACTTTGCCTACTACCTAAGAAAAGTCGAAGAAAACAAAGATACGGCAAGAGCAGCAAAAGGGAGACGCCTGACTCAAGGAACTTTCGTTAAGCAGAGAAAAATGGACCACGAGGTGGAAGCAGGTGACGAAATTTCGGAAATCAAGCAGACATTTTCGGTGAGTGAAGTCTGAAGAAACAAATACGACTTTGGGGGACTGGCAGTCACGGAGCTAGGCAGACAGATAAGCACAACGGTCACAGAAATTCGGTATTATGGCGCAAAATGTACTAGAAATCTAATTCAAAATGTAGCAGGCGACCAGAACCAGGCGTCCACAGATTGCTCAGGTAACACGGATTTAATCAAGGAGACGATCCGGGAAGGCAATGCCTAATATCTAAAGGCATGCGAATCAGAGACTAGGCCCTCTTCTTGGTGAGGCGGCACTATAGGTGCTTCTAAGAGCTTGAGAAATAGCGCCTGGAGTAAAACTCACGCTGGGACTGGAACCGAGTAAAATCGGTCAACCAGAAAGATAAAAAAGGGATCTATGGGACTATGAGGTAGATCCAGATAGGATGCCCGAATCGGATTAGCTGATCGAAAGATAAGAAGCCAAGGTAAATAGCAGGACTGATGAGGCCACACTAAAATTGCAAAAATGTTCACACCTTTTGGCGAATGGAATGTGAACAAGTCAGAAGATTTGGAAGGGCGGAAATGAGGTAAGAGGGTAAGGAGTAGATAAATGGGCCGTGACAGAAAGAATAGTGATAGAGCAACCGTTTCGGCTCAAAGTCTGGTCAGGGGTTTAAATTCACTTGTCTCTTTAGCAAGTTATAGTTTGGTGCTGAGAATGGCAAAACTCTCTGATAATACAAACTAGGATAAAGACGAAATGTCTGGGAATGTACCAAGTCCATGATCTTACGCTGGGAATTATGATAACCAATATCACAGAGGAGTTCGGAAATTGTGCGTCCGAGTAAGTCACCCTGACAACGAAAACGAGGTCAAGCCATTTTTTTAGCATTTGATTGTTGGCTGTGTTTTGACTAAGTGCCCTTGACCTTTTTTAATAGTAGATATTTTATCGACATGTTCTTTTACGTAGGCAGAATAAGTATCCTTCTAAAAGCTGTTGACCTATAGTCTCGTTATGTATGCTTTGTTATTCTATTCGTAAGAGGAAAAAAGAACATCTATCCCATACATCTGGCAGTTTGACTATGCCGAATCGTTGTGGAAGCAGACCCGGATTCGTTAGACGTAGAGGTATAGAGGTAGACTCGTATATTGTGGCGCTGCCCAATTCGATGGTGTCTGAAGGCTCCAGTAAGAGGTCCGACGTTGACAGAATGGCTGATAGATAGCAATTAACTTGCTTTGATTGTCCAGCTGCTCTAATCATTAACTCAGCTTCCAGCACTCCGGTGTTAGGATCAAAAGTGGCTAAAGCGTCTCCATCAATGATTGACTGCCTTGTCTCCTGCAGCTCACAGCTAGCGAGTGTTTGACTCAAAGTCTGCGAACTTGAATTGCACTCTTTCGCGACTCCGAGATCCTCGGCAAGACTCTGCTTCGGCGTAAACTTCGCCAAGACCGACAATTTACCATTAGCCTTTATTTAAACAAAGATTTAAAAAAGATTAAGATAAATAATTAAACAATAAATTTTAATGGTAATCGAATTATAATTTAACATAATAAATGAAGAGAAATAAAGACGAATTAATAAGAGTTTTAAGGAATAAATAGGTAAGGAAAGAAAAAAAAATTAATGTAGATATCAGAGTAGAAAAGGTATAGGATAAAAAGTTGGAATCACTACAAAGGGAGATTGCAGGCAATATATAATTCGAATCTCTATCATCATACGATATTATTAGCAAGTTTTATAAAATGAGATAACACTGTCTTGACTTGAAAGTCCATTGTGGCAGTGTGCCCTAGAACGTACTGTGCCTATTTCTAAACTCGCATGTCCTAAATCCGACTTTGAATATTCTAGTGAAAAGCAGGCCAGGTCGAAACTACAGCCCCGCAAAGACAACAAAGCAATTTTCTGTTAGAAATTCTGCCAAAATCAGGCAACCTCTTCAAATCTTTTGACCTAGATAAACAGGCCGTTCACACAAAAGATCGAGGGAACAAAGACGTAGCTGTATTCTTCATTTTTCATTGCATATCTCTCCAAAGTCTATAGCATATTTGTTCGATTATTTGGCAGAAGTATCAACGTTATAAAAGTGTAGATAAAATAATGGAATAAAAGCCACAAAATATCCGGCATTACAACAATCGGCATGCATGAGAGTTAATACTAAGATGTGGATAAATGTGCATCAATAGTTAGGGCCAATGGTTCTCATAGTCAAGACAGTCTCAACAGTATTTGTCTAGATAGTAGGGATT